CGCGACAGTACAAACTTAGTTCATTGCATAACGCAGATTTGCTGTAGGGAAGAAGTTGATTAAAGCAACATTCCTTCACTTTTTACTTGTAGTCAGTCATAGCTAACGGGTGGCACAAAGAAGGGTGGAGAGGATGATGGTAGGGGTGACATTATGGGACAGGAACTCGAATGAATGGCTGAGAGGGGTAACGAATGTCAAGAACTTTGTAAGATATGCGAGGGAAAGGAAGATTAATTGGACAACAAAGATAGCAAGAATGGACAATAAGAACTGGGCAAAGAGGTGCACAGAGTGGCTGCCTAGAATCGAAAAAGGAAGTCGGGTCGACCTGAAATGAGATGGCAAGAAAATATATGCAAAACGGCGGTCAGAACATGTGGATGAGAAGGGCAATCCACCGTGATAACTGTGATAATTCGAGAATTAATGTGTGAAATGCATCTCAATTGGCTGAGTGAATAAACATGAAGAAACGAAGGCTAATAAAGTAACATTTCACCGCTTTTTACTCGCAGTCAGTCATGGCTAACCGCTTACCTCGTTTATCCCACAAAAGTATGTATAGAAACACAATAAATTAATCGCTTCGAATTGCTCATTTCACTCTTCAAAGTTTCAACCAACGAGAAAAAAACAGCATCTACGTAAGTATCACGAACAAACCTAACCAAAACTGTTGATATAAAAGATAATTTTTCCAGCAACATGCCTCCGATTGGACCTAACTCACCAACTGTACATTAGAATATCGTATTCATGGCACTGACCGTATTTTAGCTGACCATAAGGACAAAATCAATGCTATTTTAGGCAGCCTTCTAAATGCAAAAAGGTTATTGCAGAAAAAATTGCAATTTTTAAAGGCAGTTTGCTTCAATTGAATTACTCATACGATTTGTGCACTAATCATAATAAAAGCTGTGAGTAACAGTTCAAAGAATCAGCAGTGCAATACACGATCCACATTCAACAGAATGATGGCAAATTATGTATAAAAGAATCAACAGAATGACTCAAACCTCAAAACTTTTCATTACAGATATTTTATTCAACGCTCTCTTGAAAATTAATAAAAAATGAAACATATTCCAGTGAAGAGCGCATTATAAACACATACATATGTACATGTATTCTCCGAGGCATTTGAGAACGAATAAATGAGGCCGATTGAATTGAATTGTAAAACCATTTCTGTGAGAAAATCACCACCACCAGTACCTTATTACACCGATCGTTGAATTCAACAACACAACAAAGAAATATAAAAGAATAGTTGCATATTCGTACAAGACATCTAAAGCATCATCGATAAGTATAATAGCAATATGGACGGCACGAATATTTGGAAATTCTCTGAATTACCAGGTCAACTATTTTACAAGATCATCAACAACAAATCAAATAAAGCATATCGACTGATAACAGCGAATTTTCAAAATATTCAAATTTTCACTTCGATCATGTTCACAGAATCATGCGCTAATATCTTTGACAATGAGAGACAAAAGGCATCAAAGTTTCAGACCGAATAAAAAAGCACGA